CGTAGCCATGACCATACTCATGCGGGTGTCCAGGCCATCTTGCAAGCTGCTGCGGCGGCCCACTGGGAAAAGGCTGGGGGGGGGCAGGATGCGGGCAGCAGGCCCATGTGTATGAGCAGCTGCTGAAGGCCTGGGGGCCAGAGGTGGACACCTCGTAGGACTTCTGGGTCACTCTGCTGGACGTGATGGAGGCTGGAGCAGAGGTGAGTAGCTGGACCAGAGAATCCAAAAGGAGCTGAGAAGCTGCTTCTAGGTGGGGGTGAGGGAATCTTGATGTGTCTGGAGTTTACTGACTTTCCTGCTAATCAACCAGTTTCACAAGGATTTATTGAATAGTGAGTGTGAGCCTAACATCCTTTCCTAAAGGACTAAGAGACTCAAAACAAGTAAGAATTAGTTCTTAAACTTAATTAGGGCATTTCTAGTCTTGTCAATTTATTCATTTAGTCTTTAAACATAGGTTTCTTGAGCATGTGTTAAGTGATAAAACATAGACACAGGAAAGTTACTGAACATAAAGAGCGTGATTAGGTGCTACACTTAGTTTCTCCTCAAGGGCCAGGCAACTCCACAAATGCTCATGAAAAGCTACTGAGTGCCGGGACTGGGGACACAAAAATGACCAAGATAGAGCCCATACTATTAAAAAGCTAAAAGCCAGGGATAAAAATAAATGTATAAATAAAAATACTGAAGTGACAGGACAGTATGGTATGATTAGGGAAGTGGGGCATGCACAGAGGAAAGCAGGTGGTCAAGGAATGCCCTTGAGGGTAGGCAACATTGACCTGAGTCCTGAAGCTCACATACGAGTTCACAGAATGTAGACCCAGGGGTTGGATGGGGAGAAGTGGTCAATGGCATGACTAGAGAAACAGGCGAGCTTGTACTTGCTTGTGACAGTGTCGGGAGTCACGAGTCCATCCTCTCCAACCGGACCATGAATTCCAGTGGCTCCAAACTTCGATCTCTGCCTCCTCTCCTCAGTGGTGCCTGCTCAGACTCACCTTTCTGCTCCACAGGGAGGAAACTGTTTCCGAGCAGAAGCTGGAGATCAAGGGGCTCACCTTGTGACCTTTCTTAGAGATTGCAGTCTCATGCCACCTGTTGGCTAATGCCTGGAAGCAGTTGCCTCTATGGTTTGTCCAGTTTTATTTTGTTTGCAGTGGGAGGGAGCACTAGTCCTGTACAGGTTACTTCATCATAGCTGGAACTTTCCCCTATATCTTGTATAACACTTCACTCGACCCTGACGCTAAATCCTTCCAATTTCTCAAACCTCTGCCTCTGTGCCTCTTCCTTCCACTTCCTTCACCTCCTCTCTACTGAAACTGCTTCATAAGTCACCTGTGACATCCTTATTGCCATAATTAATGGCCAAAATAAATGGTAGCCAGGAAAATTAGTCTCTGGGCTGTAGAGTGTGTGGGTCAAGGTTAACCCAGAGTTTTCTCTCTGATAGCAGATAACTTCCATCCTCATGTGGCAGCAATCCTGTGCAATCCCGGGGGCTGGAAGCTCGTGGCAGTCAATTATGCAAGAAAAAGCCAGAGGAGGAGGGCATCATCTGGGGGATTGGAGGGATAAGGATGGCAAGAGGAGATAGATTCAAGGAATGTTTAGAAGGTGATGCCAGCAGGACCCTTTAAATTATTCCAGGGCTCCTGCAGTAAATTCAAGTCATCTTCCAGACAGTGTGAACATCTGAAGTATCTTCCACTCCATTAGATTAATTTAGGATTGCAAGAGGAGAGCATGCCTAACAGACTGCAAGAGCTACCTCTGCAAGAGAATTTTTAAATCTATTATGCTCAGCAGTCAGTATCAGTGCAGTACGCATTCCAACACTTGCCTAGCTACTGTGATTTGCCTCACGTGGGCGAATACAGTACTCCCAGGGGATAATTTACTCCCATAAAGCAAACACTTTAATATTTATCCCTCATCTCTGGCCAAGAAATGGCCTTGATAGTGAGTGAGGATTTCGACTGAACATTTGAAATGACCCTGGGGGCAGGGAGGTGATTAACATGACAAATCAGATCCCCTGGATTCTGGGTAGGAAGATTTCAGGAAGCTTAAAGAAAATTTCACATCTTCTCCTATTAAATTACAGCACCATGCATGATTTTTATGAATCTTTTGCACTGTGAATAAGAGATTATCTTTCTTGTAACAAGACTGTCCTTGGGTGCCTGAGTGGTGCAATCAGTTAAGCTTCTGACTCTTGGTTTCGGGTCAGGTTTTGATCTCAGGGTTGTGAGATCGAGCCCCACGAGGAGCCCAGAGTCAGACTCTGCACTCAGCGAGGAGTCTGCTTGAGATTCTCTCTCTCCCCCTCTTTCTGCCCCTCCCCCTCATGCACTCTCTCTCTCTCTCAAATAAATAAATCTTAAAAAAAATAAAGTATACTGAATGACCTGGCTCTGCCATCTTTCTTCCATCCTGCAGCTCCTCATTTCCATGAAGCCCAGGATTTGTCACTATATCGGGGCTTTCCATGTTGGGATAGAATTCACCTGTTTTCTGGTTTCTTTGCCCCAAGTGTACCGTGCACCAAGACAGAGAGACTTGGTCTTCTCCCTGCATCCATTCATCTGCATAAGTGTCCATCCCCACCCCCTACATAACAGATTTGGGATGATTGGTCTACTCCTTAAAATAACATGATTTCTGTATTTTCAAAATCTGCATAAAACTATGTCCTTTCTCTTTGCATTTGTTGCTGTCAACACTTCCTGCTGGTGTTTTCTCACCTTCCATGCCTTTCTCTGTAAATGCTGATCCCTTTGCGACTGCTACTCCACCAACAGTATTCTTTCCACGGTTGACAATGACCAAAGCCAAACTCCGTGCCATGGCCTTCTTCTCCTACTCTCTTTCTCTGCCTTCGATATTGTTGCATCCCCCTGTTTCTTCCCCTCACTTTTTGGCTGCCTTTTTTTAAAAAAAAAATAGGTTCATATCCCTTTAATTAATAGTTTTCTTGAGTCTCAGCCCTAGTTATCTGCATTTCTCAGCATTCTCTCTCTGGATGATCTCATTCCCTCCAGTATGAGTTTACTAGGGTTGCCGTAGCAAAGTACCACAAATTTGGTGGCTTATAACAGAAATGTATTGTCTGATAGTTCTGGAGGCTAGAAATCTGAGATTGAGGTGTCAGCAGGGTTTCTTCCTTCCGGCGAGAGGGAGAGGGAATCTATTCTACGCTTCTTACCTAGCTCCTGGTGATCTGTTGACAGCCTTTGGCGTTCTTTGAGTTATAGAAGCAACACTTCAGTATCTGCCTTCATCTTACCTGGTGTTTACCCTATTGTGTGTCTGTATCCAAATTTCCCCTTTTTATAAGACACCAGGCCTATGGGATTAGGGCCCACCCTAAAGACCTCATGTTAATTTGATTACCACTGTAAAGATCCTATCTCCAAATAAGGTCTCATTCTGATATATTGGGGATTAGGACTTCAACATGTGTTGAGAAAGGGTGGGACATATTCAACCCATAACCTCTCCTCTAGCTTCGATGACTTGTCCATATACTGATGACTCTCCAATCTGCATCTCCATCCCAAACCTGTCTTCTGGACTTTGGACCTGTGTGTCCAACCGCCCACCGTCCATCTCTCTTGGATGACTTTCATGTATCTTAAACTCAACATGTCTAAGAATGGTGCCTTATCAGTTCAGTTGTCCTGGGCAGAAACTGACACTTACTCTTGACTACTCCTTCACCCTCATTTCTACAACCACATCTAATATTTACCAAATTATGTCAGTTCTACCTCTGCAATGGCTCTCAACTCAACCCCTCTTTGACCTCACTGCTACCATCTCTGCAAGACCACTAGTATCTCTCCCCCAGACCACTCCAGTGGTTTCCTAACAAGTCATTCTATCTCTGATTTTATTCCCTCTCAAGCCATTCTCCACATTGCAGGGCACTCTTCTAAAAACCCAAATCTAGTCATTCCATTTCCCTGCTTAAGCCATTCAGTGGCAGTGAGTGCCCTTGGAAGTGGACATCGGACCCAGACAGCTGGTGTGAGGCCTTGAGCGGGACATTGAAGGGACGGTAGAATCTAGGTGAGTGGGGAAAAGGCTTGTATGAATATGGACCTTGGCCTAAACCTTGCGGGTTTAGATTCAAGGGCCATGTCAGTCCACTTCCCTGCTAAGTGTAGACACCCACAACAATTGTGAAAATGACCGGATGCTGATCATGTAGCTTTCCCCATATCACTCAAGACAGAAACTTGTGAATAGTTGTCTTTAGATGTGGCCTGAATCACAGTGGGCTGCCCAAGCAGCTGCCTCTGCCAGTTCCGGCCTTGCGCTCCTCCCTGGTGACAGATGTAGATGCCAACAACATTAGCGGTACCCTGGCATGCCCTTCTACCCATTTATTTTTTTTTGCTCATGCGTAAGGCATAAATATTTTGTGAACTCTTGCATAAGCTTATGGTTTAAAAGCTAATTCCCAAATGAGAAGATACTGGTGGACCATTGGCAGTTGCAAAGAGCTGAGCAGTCAGTTGGCTGCCCGATTAAAAGGTGGCTTGTCCACCCATTCAGCCTTTAGTGCTGTTTATGGAAATTCCTGTGTGATTGGCTTTTCCCCTTTTAGACCATAAGAAAATGAGGGCAGGTATCATGCCTTCTTGACTTCCTCACACTAAGCAGAGGGCCAGACACATAGTAGGCTTCAGTAACTTCTTTTTTTTTAAGATTTTATTTGTCAGAGAGAGAGGGGGCGAGAGCACAAGCAGGGGGAGCAGCAGGCAGAGGGAGAAGCAGGCTCCCCGCTGAGCAAGGAGCCTGACATGGGACTCGATCCCAGGACCCTGGGATCATGACCTGAGCCGAAGGCAGGCACTTAACCTCCTGAGCCACCCAGGCATCCCGGCATCAGTAACTTCTTAATTAACGTGTTATCACACAATCTGGCCAATAGCCACAGGTCTTTTGGGTTATCCTGAATTGGTTTTTGACTACAATGAATTATGAGGCTGTCTTGTGAATGTTTTATCTACTCCATCAATCGAGAAATTCACCAGGGCCATTTGGAAGAAAATGTATTCCAGGAGAGCCTACCAGGAAGGAATTTGTAAGTAAAGGGTTTCTACAGTCAGCAGGGTGTATTTTCCAAGATTTTCAGGGCAATAATGACATCGCTGGAGGGTGGTAGTGATGCTGCAAGGTACACAGGGATCTTAGTCCCCTTCATGTGCACCTGCATGTGGGTAAATACTTCAGTTCAAATCACAAAGAAATCAAGACTTTAGGAGCAGAAGAGACAAAGGCTCAACTAGAAGACAGTCAATGTGAAGGCTTAATGAAAAGCAAACAGGATCATTCAAGGAAATAAGCTGAACATATGAAAATCCAAGATTAGAAAACAAATTAGAATCAGTTACTTATTTTAACAAGAAGTTATTACTTCAAGCATAAACACTCCCACTGCATCTACAATATGATTAATGTAAAATTAATCAATTCATGTAAAGTATGATTAATACCATTACATTATTTATATGTGTTTTAAGAATAGTGTATACGGTATTATAAAAAGCACAATAGTTGTGTAGTCTTAATGCCAGTATCTTACCAACTGAGACACAGGGGTGTATATTCAAAGGTACAATTTCCAGAACTGCACTTAATACTCCAGGAGTAGCCAAGCTATAGATTTATACTAGACCAGGGTAACACTTTTACTTTTATTTTCTTCATATGGCACAGCATTTTCTTATCTATCTTGCTTCAATTTATTGAGCTGATCTCTTTGGGAAATGTTCTAAAGTTGATCCTAAATTTCTTTTGGTTTTTCCTGGGTTAAGGTGAGTATCTCAGAGCCATCAGGACAGGTCATTTTACTGTATGGCCAGTGAATCTCCACCTGCTGTTGGCATCAGTGCCTAGAGCGACACGGGAGAGCAGTGGGGTTGGTGCATCACTGAAGTCCTCCCATTCCACTTTCACCTAGGAATCAGCCAGCCCCCTTCTGCGGGGGGGGAATACTTGCTTCCAGGTGTTCAGCAAAGGTAATGGCCAGCTACACCCCCTTAAGAATGTCTGCCATTGGGTTCTCATAGGGCAGCTGGCAAGAATTCCAGAAAATCTTCCTAAATCTTCCTAAATCTCTCCATAGACCCCTCCCTGAGAACAGAAAATGTCACTCAGAGAAGAAGGCAATACACGGGAAGTAGTGGGTGAGGACATCGGAGAGAAGAGGGAAAGGACAGGAGAGGAGGATACTGTGGGGTTGGGTACGCCTGAAGGCCCCAGAGAGTCCATCTCTGATGGGGCTCTCAACTTGGAGCCTCTGAAGTTGTTATGGCTGGTTAGCAAAAGGGAAATTTACTGGGTGGACTGGGGTGGAGAGACTCACAGAACCCTGGAAAATGTGCAGGAACTGAGGGGCCTCACAGTTGAGCAGCCGGGACAGGCCCCCAGGATACTGCTCTTGCCATCACTATCTACCACCCGGGCTGCCACTGTTGCTCGTGGAACTTGAACCATCCTGGTTTTTGGAAATTTAAAGTTCTGGATAGGAGGGTCTGATGGGATGAAATCCAGTCATGCCTGCCCCCTATTGTTGCGGGCAGGGAGAGGCGTAGACCTCTTAAAGAGTCTCGTTTGGCTTCCACTGTGGGATATGGGGCACTTTCCCAACAAGGCTTATGTAATTGGCAGGGGGAGGGTCCCCTTAAATGCGAAGGGAGTTGAGTGCTGGGCAGTTAAAAGTAGGACAGAGGCCCAAGGTATTCACATTAAAAAACATTCAGGGAATTGTTAATGGGGATTAGAGATTTTTTAAAAAATTGTTATTTGTTCTTTTGCAATGAAAGACACTTTCTATCATCTGGGAAATTATTTAAGACCGAGGCTATCACCAAAGAAAAAGAATGTTAAAGGCAATTTTATAGTTTTCTGCTGATTCATATCTAGGATCAGCCAAATAGATTTAAAATTCTCTCTTAGGTACCTTGGGAATACTTAAAAATCCATTCCAGATCTATGAGTGTTCAGCAAAAATCATCAAGGTTAACCTATAATCTAACTCTCCAGATGATGAAGGTGTAAGGAATCACAGGCTGCGTAGTCAGAGACTGAGGATGGGCAAGATAAGAGGTAGCTGGAAGTAGGATAACTGTAGGCTTAATGAAACATGGGCGTGGTTGGAGCCATAGTTGAGGGAGGGGTGACATCTTTGAGCAGCACTGAGGCAATAAATGCTTGGTACTGGATGGAGATGTAGGTCCAGAAATGATCTAAACAAGCAGCTCTTAAGGATGATATTTTGTTTGGGAGAAGGAAGCCAGAAGAAATGTAAGAGAGGTGGGGGCCCGGCGGGGGGGAGGGTGTGGAGCAGAGAGAGAGAGAATCTTAAGCAGTCTCTATGCCCAGCGCAGAGCCTGACACTGAGCTGGATCTCATGACCCTGAGATCATGACCTGAGTTGAAATCAAGAGTTTGATGCTTAACCGACTGAGCTACTCAGGAGCCCTGCCAACCTCTTCTTTAGAGTATAAATCCAGAACATGCACTTGACAAATATATGGGTTGCCCAAGTAAGAATGAAGTCCCTCTGGCATACATAGGCCCTGGGGTAAAGGGTGCTCTGGTTGCATCACAAAAGGGTTAGATCATGACCAGGAAGAATAAGTATGACGAGTTTATAAGCACAAGATACTGTTATTATTGGTGTTCTTTTGACTTTTACCATGTGAATGCTTGGATCTTAGCAGGGAAAAAAGGATCCCACTGCCATACACGTCTCTACAGGGGAAGTCCCGTCTCTCTTTAAGGAGCATGTTTTGCTTCCAAATAGATGTCTTCCTTCCAGGTTCTATCTGTTCTGTGCATCCTGCCTTCTCCTGCCAATTTTGCCTTCAAGAGACTCTGCTTCCAACTCATCAGCCCTCTTCAAAATACCTCTTTTGCTCCCAGCAACTAAAAGGGCAAAATCCCCACTTTCCTTTGTTGGAAGCTGTTCTAGGCTCTCTTTCTATCCAAACCCTGCCCTATGCTAGCATCTGCTGGAATCCATCATCCTCTGCTAAGTATTCTGTAATTGTCCAGGCTGAAATTAATCTCGCCGCTCTCTGAACAATAATTGTCCTTATTTTCTGTACCACACAACCATTTCCCCTTCATACAGGAAGAGCTCAACAATGCTGATTGGCTGAAATGGGAAGGGCAACAAATTATACTGGAAAGAATATGGGCTTTGGAAATGGACCTGCCTTGACTTTAGAAAATACTTATTTGGGCTGTTGAAGATCCATTTTCCTCATCTATAAAATGGGAATAGTAAAATCCACCCCACAGTATTGTGTTGTCAGGAGATCATATATGTAAAGCTCTTGGCACATGGTAAGTGTTAAATAAGTGCTAGACATTTTATTTTTACATTGTAAAAATAGGGAGCAGCAACATACTTTTTAGTTTTTTTTTTTTTAAGATTTTATTTATTTATTTGAGAGAGAGAGAATGAGAGACAGAGAGCAGGAGAGGGAGGAGGGTCAGAGGGAGAAGCAGACTCCCTGCTGAGCAGGGAGCCCGACGTGGGACTAGATTCCGGGACTCCAGGACCATGACCTGAGCCGAAGGCAGTCACTTAACCAACTGAGCCACCCAGGCGCCCCTATACTTTTTAGTTTTAAAGGTAGTTATTGGTAGAGAAAATAAATCACATTCCACGGGGCGCCTGGGTGGCTCAGTCGTTGGGCCTCTGCCTTTGGCTCGGGTCATGGTCCCAGGGTCCTGGGATGGAGCCTCGCATCGGGCTCCCTGCTCAGCCAGGAGACTGCTTCTCCCTCTCCCACTCCCCCTGCTTGTGTTCCCTCTCTAGCTGTCTCTCTCTCTCTCTCTGTCAAATAAATAGATAAAATCTTTAAAAAATAAATAAATAAATCACATTCCAGATAGAATAAATTAATACTGTTTTAGGGACAAGATGTGTATAACAGAAATAGAACAATTTTTAGTCCTTTCTTCCAATTACAGGTTTTAGGTGAATAACAATGAATTAGGCTTTAAAAGATTTTTAAAAAGGTCATTTTAGTACACATGTGTAGGTACCCGAATATTTCAGATTTTCATCTTGAAAATCTAACTTTTAGTTAATGGACTTTTTATTATCATTTGCAATAAGATAATTAGCAAGTCTTAAAAATTTTTTTGATACAAAAAATGTGGATAATAATATAATCAACAGCCAGTTTATTTTAAAAGATATTTCTCTAGGAAATGAATCAAGAGTGTTCAGGGGTGCCTGAGGGGCTCATTCGGTTAAGTGTCTGCCTTCCGCTCAGGTCATGATCTCAGGGTCCTGGGATCGAGCCCTGCGTTGGGCTCCCTGCTCAGTGGGGAGTCTACTTCTCCTTCACCCTCTCCCTTTGCCCCTCCCCCTGCTTGAACTCTCTCTGTCTCTCACAAATAAATAAAATCTTTTTTAAAAAAGTGTTCAGAGCTACAGAGAGTGAATAGTATGTGATAAATAAGGCACTGCTGTGCTGGGAGGGTTTGGGCTTTAAAGAATAAGGTGGTACAGATTGAAACAGAAAGTTGGTATATTGCTTGTGAAAACATCCACCGCACTGACCCCTTTCTATAATTCTAGGACTAAGTGTTTACCTAATAAGTAGCTTTTTTTGCAAATTCCATATGGACTTAAATGAAAACCCAACCAATACGACAGTAAATATTCCCTCATTACAAGGAATATTTGCTGTCATTGTAATATGATGAAATATGAATTTAAAAATAAGCTGAAATATAGCTTTTCACATAATCTTTTGTTGAATTGCTAATACCTTATCTCTTTTTATAAGACAAAATGTCAAAGTAATAATCGTGGCTTCCAACCAACTCCATGTCAAAATTCAAGATTACATTTCTGTCTTCGATGTTTCTTCAGTGATTGTAACATCTTCACAGAAAAGATCACAGATATTTAAAAGAAACACACTTATAAAACATTATTTGAAAATAGTCAAAGTTAGTTTTATGCTTAAAGTATGATTTTCAAGAGATTGGTTGGAAGAGTCATCAAAGAAGAATCCTCAATCAAAGAAGCTTAAAGCTAGAAGATCATGTGGCCTAGCCCCTGATTTTGTGATTATAATATTATTATTGTAAAAACATGGTAGATCAGATGCCTCTGCCCTTCCAAATTCTCTTTCTACCTGCCCCATAATCTCTCTCTACTTGCCCTTCTCTGTGGTGGTTGAACTATAAGGACTGCAGAAAACAGGCTCTCTCGCCCTCTGACTTTGGCTTACTGATCAATGGGGAGTCCCTAGGAGATATCAAAGGAAAGGAGTATTTTCAGGAAGCCCTAGCTGAGTGCCTACCTTAATGAAAAGTCATAACTCATATCAGGCAAGCCCCTCCTTCCAGATTTTTCTAATCACTCTCTCTCCTTGTCCCTTCAGGCCTAAGTGTAGTAAGAACTGTTGCTACACCTGGATATTACCCTCCCTCCTGTGGTGTCACACATAGTGGTTCTCAAATTTTTCACTTGCATTGGAATCACCTGGAGGGCTCCTTAAACCATAGGTTACCCCCACTGCAGTTTCTACTTTAATAGGTCTGAGGTGGCTGCTGAGAACTTGCATTCTAACAAGCTCTCAGGTGATGCTGCAGTGGCAGGCTTAGGGAACCATGTGGCCCAATAGCCCTGTACCTTGACCACCTTTTAAATAAAGTATCCGAATTTGACTTTGCTCTCTCTTGCTTCTGGAACCTTGACTAATATAAATGACTATAAAAAATTAGTTGAAAATAGACAAAGTTTGTTTTATGGTTAAACATGATTTGCTTGTTTGAAAAAGATGTGGTATGTATATATGTATACACACAATGAAATATTACTCGGCCATCAACAAGAATGAAATCTTGCCATTTGCAACGAGGGTATTATGCTAAGCAAAACAAGTCAGAGAAAGACAAATACAATATGATTTCACTCATATGTGGAATTTAAGAAACAAAACAGATGAACATGGGGGGGAAGGAAAAATAAAATAAGATGAAAATAGAGAGGGAGGCAAACCATAAGAGACTCTCAACTGTAGGAAACAAATTGAGGGTTGCTGGAGGGAGGTGGGTGTGGTAATTGGGTGATGGGCATTAAGGGGGGCACTTGAAGTAATGAGCACTGGGTATTGTAAGCAACTGATGACTCACTGAATTCTGCCTCTGAAACTAATAATACAGTATATGTTAATTAAATTGAATTTAAATAAAAAAATTTAAAAATCCTTAAATCAATGGAGAGAAAGCGGTAGGGATTTAGGAAACCATTTTGTTCAATCATTAAATTTCAGAGTATAAAGAATACAGACAGAGAGGTCCAGTGATTTCCCTGAGAGGACATAGGCAGTTGGTATCTTGCTTTTCACGGAAGACTTTCCAGGATACTATGCTGCCTCTGGTCACACAGCTCCTACCTCTCCAACCCCACTTTCCTTCCCAGCCCCCCACCCCCCATCCCCTGGACTGTGTAATTGCCTTCTGTATTTTCATTATCTCTGCCTTTAGGTTTGGGCACCAGGGCTACCTGTGGTGTTTCAGGTAAGTATGCACCATAGCTTGGGGCGAGTGAGGATAAGATCTCCAGCTCACTGTTCAGGATAATGCTTAGTAGAACCAAATGTGTCATTGACCTTTTGTGTTCATGAGAGAGAAGAGTCAATGGCAGGGCTCTTCTTAGAATGATATCTGAGAGTCTGGTCTATTATCTTCCGAGTCATCTTGCACTTGCTCACACAGAACCTCACCTGACACTTTGCTTCTCACCTACTTTACAAAGAGCTTTTCCTAGTTACTCTTTATTGCTTGGCTTTTCAGGTTGTTTTCTGAGAACCCTACACCTTACACTCTGGGTAGGCAGTTGCTTTACTTTTTTACTTTTTGCTTTGACGTTGCTAAGGGGATGCCCAAGGCCCTGTCTGCCCACCCCCACCCGCCCTTTCCCGGTTTTGTCACAGTGTTCTCTGGCCACAGAAGTTGGACCAGGTGTCAGTATAAGACACAACAAGATCCTTCCTCAAGATTTTTGACTCTGGGAAACTGGATTTCTAGCTGTAAGACTGGAAACCTGGGAGCTTCAAACAACCCAATGTTCTGCAGAGAAAAGCAGATGGCAGCCAAGTGAGAAGACATGCGCCAGTACCTGCAGTGAGAGATGGAGGGCTGTTCGCCTGCACCAAGCCCCAGGCCCAGGTGTTCCTGAGGTTTAGGGACATTCTTGGCTGTCCTGTCCCTTGGTTGATAAGCTCCTAAAAACTCTACATTTTTGCTTAAACCAGGTCAAGTTTGGATTTCTATTATATGAAGTCAGATATTCTAACTGATAAAGTACTAATAGTCATTTTTGTTTACCTGTTTATTTTTTGTTATAATAGTCTGCATGTATTGAGCATGTTCTGTGGACCATTTAATCTGAGCAGCACTCCTCAAAGGATTTTCAAGGCTTGTTTGTACTCAGAATTCAGCATCTTAGAGTTGCTCATCTTATCATTGTCTCATAGCACACTCTTTACCCCTCTGAGTATTTGCTTCTGTGGTTGCCTCAGACTCTATTGCTTATTCCTCAGTGTAGAACTCTGCCTGGCAAAGTCCTGCTCATCCTCCAAAGCCAACTTTGATGTAGCCACTCATAGAGACTTCCCTGCTCCTGGCAGAATGAATCACTCCCTTTCTTCTTGCCCTCCAATTCACATTAAGTTATGCTTAATTGGTTACAAGTCTGACTCCAATACTATGTTGAGAGCTCCGTGCAGGCGCGGACCGTGTATTCTTCATTTGTCTAACGCCTGTTCCGGACACAATACCTGCCCTAGAATAGGTGTTTAATAACTACTTGTTGAGTTACATCAATCTGGGGAACTGCAGAGCCTAACCAGTGCAAATGAAGAAATTATATTCTTGTGCCTGGACAAATATGAAAAATGGCACAAGATGGCCCTGCTGCTATGGCTCAGGTGAGCAGGTGTCTTTACGGGGGGTGTGGGGGGACCGTCTGGTGTGACTAATGAGAGACTTCCCACCTATCACTTATAATACACTTTACTCTCAATACCTATTAAAGTCTGAACACTGTTCACTAACTGAATTTGCAATGCCCAGGCACTCACTGTGGCATAGAAAATTGAAAATAGGCATTTATTTATGATCCTTGACTGCATCCCAGGTGACGTTCTGAATATTATTTTTGTCAGAGGTGGCTTTATAGTAATTGAAGGGTACACGACCATGTAGCATGGGGCAGTGTTTTTGTTTTCCAGGATTGGAGATGACTGTTTCATGGCCCAAGCCCTGAACATTGCCTCTGGGCTTGGCTCTGAAGTTTAAAGTTTGCCTTTTTAGGACAATGATTTCAATGTCTCCAGTGGCTCCAGTGGCTCCAGTGGCTCAGCTGCCCTCGGATCTCTTCCATAAATCAACCGGTGTGAGGCAACTGGCAGCAGGAAAGGGTGCTGAGCCTTATTGCATACAGACCAGGAGGTACAGAAGCCAGAATGTAACAACACTTCAGTGAAAATGAGGAAGCAAGAGAAATCACTAGTTTGGCTTATAAATCCAACACTCCCAGCTGCACATGATTTACCAGCTTTTTAACTATGGCCGATGTTTTATCTCAATCCTTGCTCAACTAACTTCCCAACCTATTTTGGAATTTCCTTTCCACCTATAATTCCACCTCTTATCCACCTATAATGATCATTGCTGAATGATCACAAAATGAAACATGATATTCACATAAGAAAACACGAGAAGGCACAATTCATGTAAAATAAATTATGAAAAATACTTGAAAGATAAATTAAAAATGACTCTTGGAGTATCTGAACATCAGCCCCTCTTGAAGAGCATAAATAAATGAGAGTTCACTGAATTTTAGACAGACTTTTCTCATTGAATTCAAAATATTCCATTAGAACCATAGTTGTGAAAGGCATAGGAAATATCTTGGATATGTAAAATAAGAACCTTATGTATTTTTGACACTTTTATAATAACAGTATTAACATAGCATTAATTTAAGCATAATAATCAGTGTGTAATTCTTCTGTTGCTTATTTGAGTAACTGTACATTTTTTATTCTTTTGAATCCAAGATTAAATAATACATCTTAATTAGACCAACTTAAGACACTTAATAATAGATGGTACAGCTAACTCCATTTTTATATATCTCTACTTGTTTTTCCCAATACTGAGAAAAAAAGAAAAGGGAAGAACAGAAAACAAGATATACTTTGTCATAGATGAGGAGGCCCGGACTGCAGAACTAACACTCACAGCCAAGTTACTCTGCTGTTCTGCTAGGTTCTTGTTGGAGACCACGGTCCAGGAACTCAAGCTTTCTTTTTCTGGATAGCCCTGCTTCTCAAGGTTCTGATTTGATTGCTTCAAGTGATGACTCACACAGTATGTGACATGATTATTCAAAGCCAAACTAAAGCCAAGATGCCATTGCTGTTTCAAGAGTTTGCTCTTCATTTGATGGTTTCTACCATCTCAGAAGCATCACACCAAGACATAGCCTCCATGACCAGAGAGGATGATAGCCTCTGTTCTTCCCCTTGGAGCCATGGAAATAGAGAAACTCAAAACTTTCAAGGAAAAATAAATGTACCCTGTGAACAAACATAGGCAGCCAAGGAGACACAATGACTGAATACTATGTGGTGTCCTGGGTGAGGTCCTGGAACAGGAAAAGGCCATTAGTAACAAAGCTAGGGAAATCCAAACGAGGTTTGGAGCGTGGTTAATAGTAATCGCCAATGTTAATCTCTTAATTTTGACAAATGCGTATCGGGGAGAGTGATGTAAGATGTTACCATTAAAGGAAACTGGGTAAAGAGCATATGGGAACTTTCTGAACTGTCTTTTCAATTTTTCTGTAAATGTAAAATTATTTCAAAATTAAAAGTTTACTGAGAGAAAGAGAGAGAGAATGCAGTCTCCAGCATCAGGCAGCATCTGCAGATGGAGAGGGTGAAAACATTCACACGGGAGAAAGTTAAGCACTGGGGCAGCTAGTGCAAGACTACTGTCAAATGGGGGCACCTGGGTGGCTCAGTTGGTTAAGCCACTGCCTTCGGCTCAGGTCATGATCCTGGAGTCCCGGGATCGAGTCCCGCATCGGGCTCCCTGCTCAGCGGGGAGCCTGCTTCGCCCTCTGACCCTCCCCCGTCTCATGCTCTCTCTCTCTATCTCATTCTCTCTCAAATAAACAAATAAAATCTTAGAAAAAAAAAAAAGACTACTGTCAAATGAGCTCAGACAGTAAAAGTTCAAAGAAAGTATAGATGCATGTGATTTAACAGCAAAGACTGCATGAACCAATCAGGATTTGATCGTAGTATGTAAAGATTTGGGTAGATTCAGAGTGTTCCAGGTAGAGGAACAACCCAGTTAAAGGCTTAAAGCTTGTCAGTAGTGAGAGGAAGGTGTCAGAACACAGCCAGAACCAGCCTAGTTGGAATGGACTGTTCAGCTTGGAGCAAGGCTAGCTGTTTAATTAGAGGTCCCAGGGCAAAGTGAAAATGTAGAGCCCCTTTTCCAAAAAGCTGAAAATGGCTTTTTCCTTTCTTATGTTCTCTCTCTTTCTCTTTCTCCATTTTTTATTTCCTACTTAACATCTGTTCCCTTGGACACAGGGATACTTGTTGGGTGAGTGCAGGCCCCCACACACACTGGTGGTCTGACCCTGAGATCCCAACACTCCCCACACCAGTACTCAGGTCCCTGTAGGATTGCTAAGCAAAGACATGGGAGTGGTGGCTGAAAACCCACCCCAAGAGGTGGGGAGGCAACAGGAGGCAAGACCATGCCTGAGCTGAGGCTCTGAGCCCAAGCCCCCTGCGTGTGCTCCATTATCCCATTGGAAATCACTTACAGAAAATAAGTTGAAAGATAAAAGAAATCTACACATTCAAAGGAATCCCTATCAAAATACCATCAACATTTTTCACAGAGCTGGAACAAGCAATCCTAAAATTTGTATGGAACCAGAAAAGACTGGCTATTTGGGAATAGCCAGGGGAATGTTGAAAAAAGAAAACCAAAGCTGGGGGCATCACAGTGCCTCACTTCAAGCTGTATTACAAAGCTATAATCATCAAGACAGCATGGTATTGGCACAAAAACAGATACATAGATCAATGGAACAGAATAGAGACCCCAGAAATGGACCTTCAACATTATGGTCAACTAATCTTCGACAAAGCAAGAAAGAATATCCAGTGGAAAAAAGACAGTCTCTTCAATAAATGGTGCTAGGAAAATTGGACAGCCACATGCAGAAGAATGGAACTGGACCAAACTTACACCATACACAAAGATAAACTCAAAATGGATGAAAGACCTCAATGTGAGACGGGAATCCATCAAAATCCTAAAGGAGAACACAGGCAGCAACCTCTTCGACCGCAGCAACGTCTTGCAAGACACGTCTCTAAAGGCAAGGGAAACAAAAGCAAAAATGAACTATTAGGACTTCATCAAGATAAAAAGCTTCTGCATGGCAAAGGAAACAGTCAACAAAACTAAAAGGCAACCTATGAAATGGGAGAAGATATTTGCAAATGACATATCAGATAAAGGGCTGGTATCCAAGATCTATAAATAACTTATCAAACTCAACACCCAAAAGCAAATAATCTGGTCAAGAAATGGGCAGAAGACATGAACAGACACTTCTCCAAAGAAGACATACAAATGGCCAACAGACACATGAAAAAATGCTCTACATCACTTGTCATCAGGGAAATCCAAATCAAAACCACAATGAGATACCACCAGTTAGAATGGCTAAAATTAATACGACGGGAAGCAACAAATGTTGGCGAGGCTGTGGAAAAAGGGGAACCCTCTTACACTGTTGGTGGGAATGCAAGCTGGTGCAGCCACTCTGGAAAACAGTATGGAGGTTCCTCAAGAAGTTAAAAATAGAGCTACCCTACAACCCAGCAATTGCACTACGGAGTATTTACCCCAAAGATACAGAGGTAGTGAAAAGAAGGGGCACTTGCACCCCAATGTTCATAGCAGCAATGTCCACAATAGCCAAACTGTGGAAGGAGCCGAGATGCCCTTCAACAGATGAATGGATAAAGAAGATGTGGTTCATATATACAATGGAATTTTACTCAGCCATCAGAAAGGATGAATACCTACCATTTACGTGGATGGAATTGGAGGGTATTATGCTAAGTGAAATAAATCAAGCAGAGAAAGACAATTATCATGTGGTTTCACTCATATGTGGGATATAAGAAATAGCACAGATGATCATAGGGGAAGGGAGAGAAAACTGACTCTGGGAAACAAACTGAGGGTTACAGAAGGGAGGGGGCTGGGGGGAGGGGGTAACTGGGTGATGGACATTAAGGAGGGCACGGGATGTGATGAGCACTGGGTGTTACACGCAACTAATAAATCATTGAACACTACATCAAAAACTGATGGATGCACTATATATAGGTTGGCTAATGGAATTTAAATTAAAAAAAGAAAGATAAAAGCACTTCCACATGGCAACTATGCACTGTTGTGGGGAGGCGTGTGAGGTCCTTCTGAGCCCCATGCGGCTGCACTGCTTGCAGGCCCGTAAAGCCGGCCCACCCTGGGCAGGGGTGCTTAGAAGACTAATCAGGATCAGGAGGGGCTTAGGCTGCGGAGGATTCTGAAGGCTGGGTTTTCCTCTGTAAGAGTGGAGAGAGGCCAGACGTGATTGAGGAGACACAACCAAATCGGATTTTTGTGACCGATCCAGTGGAAAAGTGGAGAGTGGGCTTCATAGGAGACACCTCTCGCAGTTTTCACCAGTCAAGAATTCAACAGTCAATCTTAGGAGGAAAAGGGAAGAAGCAAGCGTGACAGGACAGTTTCCTTCCCTTGAGGTAAACTATTTGACTGTGTTAACAGTTCTAATTCAGAACAGATGTATCAACCCAAACACCGTTTTCTGAAGTTCATTTTTGGTTGACAGATTTATCTAAAAAGACCGTTTATCTTAGGGACACAGACCTTGCCAATATAGAATTTTCTTTTTAGGAGCCTCTCTTATAACATCAGAATTGAGCTCAATGAATGTCCCTGATATCAGGACTGTGATTGCTGCCACCATGTATTTTACTGCAAGGCATTTAACATCTGTTTCCAGTTTGGGGGCGCCTGGGTGGCTCAGTCTGTTAAGCATCTGCCTTTAGCTCAGGTCATGACCCCGGGGTCCTGAGGTTGGGCTCCCTGCTCAGCGGGAAGTCTGCTTATCCCTCTCCCCACCCCTCGCCCCTGCTCGTTCTCTCTCTGTCTCTCGCTTAAATAAATCAATTTTAAAAAATCTTTTTTTTTTTAATCTGTTTCCAGTTTTTCCTCTGGGAAGTTCTCAAACTGCTTTGAACTCTTTTTTTCCCAGGTACCTCCAGATCATCAGTTACTCGATGTAAACCAGGGGCCAACTACCCCAGTTCCCACAGTGGTATCAGTAGACAACTCTCCCCTCTTTCTGTCACTGAAGATTCTTCTGCTCCTATTTTTGAACTTCAAAGCCGAGGATCCTCTGGAGTTTGCGGACACAGAGTCGAAAGGCAGAACAGATCAGGTACGCTGGTGACCTCCTCTTAAATAACAGTACATCTAGGTAACCTTCTAACCAGCCATGAAAGATGGTACCATTGGCCCAGAATGCAGAGACGTTCCATGGACTCTCAGGGGTGGGAGTGGGGAAGGTTTGTCAAGTGGAAGAAGGAAGAAGGGAAATGTGTAATAGGATCTGTTAGTGGTGTGCAGCATAGCAGAGAAAGCAAATACCAAAGACGGTCCTTGAAGGGCTTAACACAGGATTAAACAGTGACACCCAATTAAGTTTATAAGGTAACTAGTTCTCTCATCTTGAAGATGTCAAATTCCAGCATCTTTGATCTCAACCCTGGGATAGTAATAGCCCACTCCCTCTCTGAAAATAAGAACAGCAGTAAAATCACAGACTCTGCTTTTGTGCCCATCGGGACTGGCGGTCCTTGGAACCCTCTTAGTTTTCCTAGATTTACACCTTCTTCAGGACACTGCACTGCCTCCCTGATCAGCATTTACTGGTCAGTCAAGACCTTAGACTTTCCTCACATCTGCTTGACCACACTCACCAACTGCCGGGTTACTCAGGTTACTGGAATTGCTAGATGAATCTCATAACTAGATCCAGGGATTTCCCAGCAAAGTTAATCATTTTCCGATGCAGCTGAGTCCACTAAGCTGCTGGCCATACCGGCCTTCTTGGCAGTGGACATCTTACTGCCTTCCCTAGAGAATGTGCTCAAGTTCCCAGTTCATACTCACTTCCTCTTGTCACATGACTGCACTTCCATTTCTGAAAAGAGCGAAACAATCAACGATCGTATGCTAACAGACGCTTTCCTCTGTGCCGCGATGTCTCTGTTCTTTTGTTTGCCAATTACCATATTTTGGGGCCGCCTTTAACGTGTGTGTGTTTCTACCTTTCCATTGTCAACTCCTTTTGCTATGTCCATGACCACCTCCTCTCCATTTCTGCCACCTGCATTTTCAGGCTCTCCTTCCACTCATTCCTTCAGCTTGGTCAGTAACATATTAAATCTCTTGCATCCTTAAAAACAATAATAAAACAGCAAAACCAACAAAAGACTCCATCCAAAATAGATGGTTAGTTGAAAATAAAACAGAACTTTGAGAAAACTGGCTTTAAAAAATAAACAGAAGAAAATGGAATTCAGGGCACTTAGTATGGATGGGGGGCAGTAACAAAAGTATACAGGAAATAGAAAAGCCTCTTCTAGGGCTCTCCTAATTTGAGAAGAGGGGTTTTTTTTTTAATATAAGAAAAGATATTTTTCAAAAAGTGACAATATTTTAAAACAGTATCTCAGCAACTATTGACCCCAAGGCTGAGGTTCTTTTTTAAAAATGAAGAAAATGACATCTTAAATCATCAGAAAGTTTTAATTGGCTTTAATAAGTTGCAGTAATATTCTTATTATCCCAGTTATCTGCAGAATAGAATGTTCCAGTTAATTAAATATACTGATTAATAAAGACTTGCCCTATCTATCATATGCAGACTACAAATTTTAAAGGCTATACCATTAAAGATCACATGGGACATAATTTACTTTCTGTGATGATTCAGAAGGCACTTGGGGGATATTCCAGGGCACCAAAGAAAAAGAGAAAAGGGGAATAATCTAAAGAGCAGCTCACCATGCTTTCATGAATGTTATATACTTAACTTCAAAACGAATCCCATGAGACAAGTGTTATCACTGTGTGACAGATAAAAAAGCTAAGACTGGAATCAAACATGAGCTCAGGGCCATACAATGGTTGCACTCATGCTTCCAAATTCCAGTGGCCTCATTAATAAATCTAATCATGTTTCATGGTAATGGATGGAATTCCTGGTATATCAGTTGTAATGATATATACAAAACTATACATCTAAGCAGGACTATAGAGAATTTAAAATGACCAGAAAAATAAAAGAGCTCTGGAGACCCAGTCTTTCTATGGTATCGACAGATGGTAAAAGTAAAGAATTGGCAGCAATTAAATCTAGCTAGCAGAAGAATGGATCGATGCTCTGGAGGGATCTAGGTGACTAGTGGTGTCGTCAAGAGTACTGTCCATGGTATGAGGGTGGCACCGAGCAGTCTTCAAAGAAGGCGACAGTGAGGGCAGATACCACCTTAACGGGATACTGAGAACCTTTATAGAATCATTCCTCCTTTATGAGATGGTCCCTGAGAATAATGTAATCTGAAGAGTACACCTTTCTCTTAGGCATCACTCCTCTTAAGCCTCATGCCAGACTACCATTCCTGTCAGGAAGCAGAAATTTTTCTCCAGACTGTTTCTGAAACTTCCAGTGCTTAAATGAAGAGCTCAAGCCTGAAACCTAGATAGAACGAATATCCAGAATAAAAGATTTGGACGCTAGAGTCATATCAACTTGGGTTCAACCTTGGACAACTTTTAACACAAATCTCAGTTTTTTCATCTGTAAAATGGGAGTGATAATACCTACTTCACCCGGTAGGTTACCGTTTCCTTCTCAGCCTCCCAAGACAAGAGTCTCTTAATCTACCCTCTCACTCGTTTTATATTTTTCCCCTCTACTCTCTGCATAAGCCACGTGGCTACAGAGAGGATTTGCAGAACTGTTATCAAGAGCAGGAAATGTCTATACACAATAAAGGGAGCTAGCTGGCTCACACTTCCAGACTCGTGTCAATGTTACTGCATCATGGAAGTTTCTCCTGATCATTTCCCACCCTGTCCCTTAACCAGTGCTTCTCTTCTGCCTCCACATGGCCTTGTATCTGCCATAGTTGGCCCTATCACACTATTTTGGATGTTTTCTGGCTTAACACTGGGCCATGAGCTCAGGTCTTTCATCTTTGAACCCTTAGGACCCAAAGAGCTAACTAGCTCCTGGTGATCTCTATAAGATTTTGTTGAATACAGGGAAAAAAGAAGACCAGTCTTCATCTTCTAGAGGCCTGGGTCCTAAGAATCCAGTACTGTTTAGAAGACTTGGAAGTCATACAGTAATTACTGTGTTTGTCATTACTTGGTTTATAGTCCCCAATTCAGAATTCACCTTCAAGTCTTGCTACCCCCCTCCCCAAATAATTATATCAGAAAGCCTTGGCTGGGTGAAAGTTTTTACCCCAGGGGGGCAGTCATGCCTGGCTCATTAAGCAATAGGACCAACATTCAGCGAGAGAAAGACAGCAGGTTCTGGGGAGATAAAGTGAGAAACCCATCCACTACCACTTACAATCTGCAGACTACACCACTCTCTTAACACCTAGGATAAACCCTGTGCTCAAAGGAGGTGCCTGGAGGCAGGAGAGAACTTGCAGACAACTCTGCCTCCCTTCCCTCAGGATTCTAACACCTGGGATCTCAGCTTGGGGACTCAGGGTGACCTCAGCTTTCTTTTAACCTCCTGACAGGTGCATAAATTTATTGTGTTGAACTTGTTTTCTCTATCAAGAGAGAAGGTCTTTATGATTGTCACTTTCAGAGAGTTTTGATTATTTTAATCTAAAAAAATGCTACTAAATTTTCTTATTAAATGTAAAAACACAAAGCAGAACTCATTGTGCTCCCAGAAATACATTAAATTGCAATTTGTTCCGATGTGGGAAATGACTTTGTGTAGTCAGGATTTGCTCTGTTCTTGGGACACATTGCTTTCCAATTTAATAGTGAGCTTTGCTGCAGTTTCAGGGGGAAAAAAAACAAACACCTTAGTGGAGTAGAACAACAAATACTTATTTCTCACTTACTTTTCATGTCAGCAGATACAGGGCCGCTTTGGCTGGGCTCTGCTCATTCTCCCACAGAGACGGAAAGGGCAGCTCCTATTTGGCATATTCCATTCTAGTGACAGAAAAGAAGAGCAGGAGAGTTTAGTGGGACCTTGTGATGCCTCTTTAAGCTTCGTCTGGGAGGCGACCTACCTCACATCTCTCTGTTCATGTTTGATTAGACCAAGCAGGTCATGGGGCCAAGGCCAAAGTCTTTGGGGCTGAAATATGTAATGCTTTTACAAGGAAATGATTAGGGTACATGAAAAGACAGCATAGCATCCACCAAGTTCATGAGCATTGTTATGGCCTTGACAATGGATGGGGGTCAAGATCCATACTGTACCTTACAGAGCAAAGATTCAGGAGAGAAAGTGAGCCAGAGTTATGAATCTCTTTAAATGAGGGTAAAAAAGCAAAACACTGGTGATTCTACTGTCTGCCTCTTTGGTTGCTGTCCTATAACCTGAATTCCACACATTTGTGTTTCTCTCCTGTTTTCAGGGGAGGATGGAACACAGACTCTTCCTGAGAACAGCAGTCAAGAAAACAGAAGCAAGGCTCGCTGCCAGTCCTGCACGTCCATGGTCCTGAAGGCTGTCTGGGGACTCTTGATCATCTTGTCAGTGTCATCATCTTGGGTTGGAACCACACAGATTGTAAAAATTACTTACAAGAACTTCTACTGTCCATTTTTCATGACTTGGTTTTCAACAAACTGGAACATTATGTTTTTCCCAGTCTATTATTCCGGTCATCTGGCCACTGCTCAAGAAAAACAATCTCCGATGAAAAAATTCAGGTAGGTTTCATGTTAAATGGCCAATACACGATGTTTTAAAATAATTTCATGAAAATCTGCATAATTTCATCTCTGTGGTATATGAACTGAGCTGACTTGGGGAGTGTGGAGAGCCAGGATCTAAGGTTGGTAATGAATACATGAGAACTAGGAAACAGAATCAGCAGCCCCCCACACACACAGCAAAAAATTATTGAATGTCTGCCACATGCCAGGCACTGTGTTGGTGCTTTTGTAGATCTTATCTTAATTAATCATCATTGGTGGTAACATGTACCTTTTAAGGTGGTGTTATTCCCATTTTAACACAAGCGGAAACAAATTTAGAAAGGTTGAATAACTTGTCCAAGGTCACACAGGTCTAAATAACAGGATCCAGATTTAAATCCAGAATTATCTCAGAAAGTCATGTTTTAAAAGAACACCACAATGTCTCAAGCCCAGGAAAAAAAAAACAAAACAAAATGTGTATTAATTAGATTAATTGTTACAAAAACATTTGCTTAATATTCTGGACACTGTGGTGCCTAAGCAGATAAAATGATCTGGTTTCATAAAAAAGGAAGTTTGGCCCTGATGGTTTAAAGATTATTTATTTATTTGATGGCGGGGGGCAGGGACAGAGGGAGAGAGAATTCCAAGCAGACTCCCTACTGAGTGGGAAGCTGACGCAGGGCTCAATCTATGACCCGAGACCATGACCTGAGCCAAAACCAAGAGTCGATGCTCCACGGAATGAGCCACCCAGGCAGCCCAGCCCTGAGGTTTAGAAGATGCCGTTCTTTGCTGGCTGGGAGCACATGGGGCCTTCACTGTTGGTCGCCAGCTATGAACTTGGTAGTGCCATGGTTCTAGTAATTGCTCTGTGCTAAACTTGGCCTCTGCAGCCCCATCTTGGAGCATTCAGGAAGCTGGCAGGACCAGTCCTGCATAGCATTCAATGAAGGCAAAAAGCAGCATTTGGGTCAAAGTATCTTTGCTAACAGACAGGTTCTTGAAGAGGAAAGGCCCAGAGGGAAGGAATAACTTCCAGGACAGCCACTCTAATCATGGAGACAAAACAGTAGTCAAGACCTCAGTGGATGGCAGTGGGAGAGGGACAGTTCTCTACACCAGTTTATTGTTCCTGGGCAGAATGACAACAAACTCATCTTTCAGAAGCCAAAATCACCTTTCTTTCTTGCCCCTGTCCTTCACGAGAAGAAGTGCATTATCAGACTATTCTTAAAAACTTAAACTGCAAAGTGTGTATCTTCAACTTCCCTTTTCTATCACCAACTTGGAAGTGCCCAAGAATATTAAAGTCACACTGTGAGCTGATTTTCCATGGTGTCCATGATTATTTAATTAAAATTAAACAAAACCTATAAAAATAATAAATGTCTTCTGGTTTGGAGGAAAGAAATAAGACTGACACCTATTTGTGATTGCTAAGGATACTTTGTATTTGATTCCCATCAAAATAGGTGTGATGTTGGGGCATAAGGTCTTTTTTAATAACAATATTTCATAAGCGATTGCAGGGGACATGATTATCAGACTAAAATTCTCCCTGTTTGAAAATAGTTTATCCATAGCATGTATGTTCTACTCCAGTGCACCTATGGTTTAGACACACATGCTGACAAAAACAAGAGTTTAGTATGGGATGTAGCACCTCAGAACACCTCAAAGCAAGCTGACTTGGTTTTATTTGAGATAACACATTTACAAGAGGCTGCTGCTGACAGAAATGTTGTTTTGGGAATCAACTTCATCTCCACCACCTCTCTCATGTCTGACTAATGCCGAATTTAGCAAAACCTGTGATTTGACAAGACACCTCCACCTGTTAGTGCAAGTATGGTGAAGTTGACGATTTCTGAAACTGAATCAAAGGGCTGTTATTGTCAAGGAGAAAACATTGTCTTTGACAGGACTATTCTCCAGAGCGTCCCCCCCCCCCATAGGAGAGGTAAACATTGCCAGAAAATTCTGAGATCCTTGATCTTGTTTTCCTTGTAGACTCATAACACCATCTGCCAAGAAGGCACTTCCTGCAGCTCTCATGGCAGAACGAGGGGAAAATAGAGTTAGGGTAGAAGACTGGAAACAGAATGTGTCCCACAGCTTCAGACCCTCTGACTAGTTTCTTCTTTTCCCTTGAATGGTGTGAAAGCATTTTCAGTTTTTTTCTTATCACTAACATCAAAAGAATTTTCAATAATGTATCAAATTTAGATCGTAGGGGTTATTCATTTGGGAATCGTTTCTGATATTACAATCAAGAGCATTTAATTGCATCATATGAATTTGAAATTTAATAAGAAAATATTTATAAACCATAGTTTTGACAAGGGTGTTTTCTTAAGGAAAAAAATCTCTAGAAAGCATGAAACTAGAGCCAAAGATATACTCATCTCCGTCAGCACCTATGAAATGTGCTTAAGATGTCATCTGACATATAGAAGGGGTTCAATAACTAGTAGGTGCTGTAACAGTGTTGAGCATAATTAAAGATTTATGTATTTATTTTAGAGAGAGCCTGTGAGTGGGGGGAGGGACAGAGGGAGAGATGGGGAGAGGGAGAGAATCTCAAGCAGACTCCCAGCTGAGTGTGGAGCCTGGAAGTGGGCTCAGTCCCACAACCCTGAGATCATGACCTGAGCCGAAATCAAGAATCAAATGCTTAAATGACGGAGCCACCCAGGCACCCCAATGTTGAGCATAATTAATTTATTAGTGTCCCCCAGCTTCTAAGCTTCAGTGCAAGCTTTGCCACCTGTCAGTGCCTCTTGCCTAGAAATTCTGATCTCCTCATCCCAAGGAGAGCCCCACTGTTACTTGCTTATCTAAAGTAATCCTTGCTTTTTCTGAATTGTCACATTTCTGAGCGCTTAACGCTTAAACAGCATAAGGTGCTACACCGGTGACCTGGCGTTTCAATGGAGACCATTTTTAAGTCCTGCTATAGCAGTGACAAACCGGGAGAAGGTTGGCAGGAAGAGAAGGGAAGAAGAGGGGACTGATAAGGAAGCCAACACCAGGGGGCCAGGCGGGGCCAGGTGACAAGAACAGTCTCTGCCCCCCTGGGGGAGGGGGCTCTCCCTGTCACTGTGCCTCCCTGCAGGGTCAGAATGTGTGCTCTCCTGCATTCAAAGTCTTTGCTCGAGAGCTCTCAACCCGGCATGATGGTGGGCTCTGGGAAGGAAGAACCATCAGCGGCCAGGGCCAGCGATTTGAAAAGAAATCCCTTCCTCAGAAATGCGTTTGTTGTGGTTCTTCATCAATGTGTATTTCAAAAGTCATTTAGTACTTGTAGATGTCAGGATGAGCCCACGGCTCTCAGCTCCAGCTCTCCCTGGAGACTTTCTCACAGAGCAGATCCCTTTGTGAGGACAGACAGGTAGGATGTCCTGAGCCAACTGTGGCTCTGATTCCATGTATCTCCCTGGCCGCGGGGCTCGAGAGATGCCCTCCATTTCCCTGGGTGTGTGAGTAGGTGCGATTTCTGTTTACAAAAGACTTTGTTTTTAGGTTATTTCGCCCCTTTCTTGAAGCTTTGTCTCTCTCAAGTTAGAATTTCCCTTTGGGAGATCGCATTTTTATTTTACAAAAATCCTTCCGTTTTAGTTGTCCCCCACATAAAAACTAAAACTATTACACTGGTTTCTGTGTGTGCAATACGCATTTTTAACCTCCCGGGATTTGCTGGCCTACAATTCCCAGCATTCTCAGCTGCCTGGAAGCAGGGTTTACCATGAGACTTGACATTGAAGGCCATACTCCTGTGCTTAGAGCCTCACCACTTTGTCACTCCCTCCCTCCATGTGGCCCTCCCATGGGGTAAGTTGCTTCATACGTGTGGGGCAAACACTGGTACGAGATGACTTTGATTTGCAAAATACTTTGAGGCACAATTGTTTCTTTTCAGGAAAAGCTAGAAGAGAAATCAGTGCCAGAGAAACCATGTAGATTTCATTATAACCATGCAAACATCAGTAACTTGTTGCTTTGAACAAGATATTTATACGACTCTTGAGAATACACTGCCTGGCACATGATAGTTGCCCAGTAAATGCTTGGATGTTCATGAACAACTGAATGGAAAAAATAAAGCTGAGTTATCCCAATGGCGAGCCTCTTTTCAATCCGTAGTCAGACAAACACTGTTACTCTATCACGTCATTACTGCCTGTCTGTATCGCTAGTTTGAACATTTTGATTAAAATGGCCCCTTGGGTTAAATAATCAATTTAGTCAGAAATCAAACAAAGCAAACATTTAACTGAAGTGATTATTTTTACACAATAAATTCAGATAATTCATCCAAAACAGCCAAATATGTGTATATAAATACAACCTGAGTTTGATTTTTTATTTAGTTAGTTTACCAGTTTGGGGTCATCACAGAAGCTTTCATCATTTTTTTCTGTCTTAAAAATGCTAGAGGAAAAACAAATTAGTCAACTGGGCAGATACATTAGAAAGAGGCCTTGACCCTTAGGAAAAATAACATCCCACATCATGTGGCTTTCCATGGCTGCAAGTCATCTCTACCTGTTCACACAGTCGCAGCCCTCTTGGTCCTGTTGTATTCGCCCCTTGGGAAAGAATCTTCTCTCTCATCTAATAGCTGGTAATCCTAGAAAATACTCATTTCTGTATTTCTCCAGGCTTCTCTGAGAATGTTCAGCAGCAGCAGACTGGCTGCCCCAGCCATCTCGAGAGAATATCTAGGTAGGAAAGGGCCTAGCTCTGCGCCTGGGGAGACGTGGGCTCTTGTCCATGGAACCCTTTGCCCCCATTGTGGCCCGTAGGTGGGAGCCCTGGGTTCAGTAAGTTCCACAGATGAACAATGGGTGTTGAGTGTTTGTGTTCTTGCCAGAAAATGGCTGTCAAGAGTTAGACAACCCAAAATGTGTCACAATTAGTACCTGACAATTAATCTCTTTTTCTTTCCTAGGGAATGCAGTCGGATTTTTGGTGAAGATGGTCTGACATTGAAGCTCTTTCTTAAAAGAACTGCTCCCTTTTCTATTCTATGGACTTTGACTAATTACCTGTATTTACTGGCTTTAAAGAAGCTGACAGCCACGGATGTCTCTGCTCTGTTCTGTTGTAACAAAGCCTTTGTCTTCTTGCTGTCGTGGATCGTGCTGAAAGACAGGTTCATGGGAGTAAGGGTAATGGCACACTTGATTCAATGTGTGAGGACACCCATAATCGTAAATCCTTGGCATCGGGAGAGCTCCTCTGTTTCATGGAATTTCTGTCAAACTTTCCCCATTGGTTCTGAGTACAAATTGGAATTTGAAGATGCATTAGGACACCCAGGCAATTACCATATCATGAAAGGATAAAGAGACTCCCTTGGGCAGTCAGCTGATTTCAACAGGAGGCCCGAAAACAGACAGGGAAAAATACGTTCTTTTTTAAGAATTAGTGGTGTGATCAACTCCTTCTGTCCTCAGGAAAGAAGGGTCTGAGAAAATTAGCCACAGTAAAGATTATGATTTTTTTTTTTCAATCAACATATGTTGGGACGACTCCCTCATGCTTTCCCTCCCCCCCGGCCCCGAGATGGATTTAATTAACGTTGGTGTAAGTAGATAAGGTTACCAAACAGTAATTAAAGTCACTGGTAATGGCACAATGCTGTTAAAAGTGGCTATATATCTAGTGTGACTAATCTAGAAATGGAACGAAAAGCAGCAATTTGTGCTTTCGGGTACAAATCCTTCATTGAACTGTATTAAACTCCCACCAGCCACTTCAGTTCTGAGTTTATCCCTTTCAGAAGTAATATGGATTTGAAAAAAAATTCTTTTGTATGCTTGCTCTAGGTTAGGTTGATTGAAAGCCATGCAGATTTAAGGAGCCAGATCTCATTCATGTCATCTGGCATGGCACCATGATGAAAATATTGAGAATGTAATTCTTTAGAAAGAGGTACAAATGAAAAGCCTTTTCCCAGAAGATAAACATCACATACTTACTGTTCTCTGAAAGAGATGTCCAAGACTGGATTTGAAGCATATTTTTCTGTCCAAATATTGTTCTTGTTGCAATGACTTCAGGGTCCCTGGCCCCCTAAATGCTGAAATTAATACTAGAGAGAGAGTTGAGGATGGCCATCAACCCTTAAAACTTTTTTAATAGCAAATTCCAATTGTATCTTGGGAGATGCTGCTCAAAAATTCAGAACTGAAGCTTGACATGAACAAGAAGTAGAAAGCTATGATAGCAGACAAGTTGAGAAACTCTGAACCAGTCCATGATACATTAGAATATACCCAGATGAGTACCACACTCTCCACCAGCTAACTTAGATTTGCCATCCAAAGGACTTACCATTATGTTTTTATACGTGAAACACTGGTGCTAGATGTTTTTACCCTCAAGCACCCTGACAAATCCTTGAGAGCAGGGACCCTCCCTATATTGCTCACTGCTCCATTCAGGATTAGCTACATAATCTGTGGGGCCCAGTGCAAAATGAAAACACAGGTACCACTCCTTTTTTTTTAATTTTTAAAGCAGCTTTATTTTCCCCCCAAGTTTTTATCTAAATTCAAGTTAGTCAGACACTAATCGTTTATTACATGTTGGCTAATTGAATTTAAATTAAAAAATAAATAAAGTCAAGTTAGTTAACATATGGTGTAGTTTTGGTTTCAGGAGTAGAATGCAGTGGTTCGTCATTACATGTAACACCCAGTGCTCGGCACAAGTGCCCTCCTTAATGCCCATCCCCCATCTAGCCCATCCCCCTGCCCCTCTCCCCTTCAGCAACCCTTCGTTTGTTCCCTATAGTTAAGAGTCTCTTATGGTTTGCCTCCCTCTCTGTTTTTATCTTATTTTATTTTTCCTTCCCTTCCCTTATGTTGATCTGTTTTGTTTCTTAAATAACACAGGGACCACTCAAAAAAATCTGTCCATAATTTCAACGCAGCAACAGCAGAGCATGAAACCAAGGGCAAGGCCCTTCTAATCATGGGACCCTATGCATCTGCAAAGGTCATAGGCCCATGAAGCCAGCTCTGCCTCTGTCTCTGGCACCTAGAATAAGGCAGGGGACAAAACAGGGCTCAGTAGATATTTGAGGATATAGTCAATAAATTCATGGTTACAAGTTCTTTCTCTTTTCTATCTGCCAGCACCATGGATTACCCATGAGGATTTGGAGGGCCTTCTCAGAAGAAAGGGGAAAAGAGGAGATTTAGGGGCTTTTCTGCCCTTTCAATGGCATCTGAATACCAAAAGGGAATCAATATCTTCTCTATTAGATTTACCAGTGAGACAATCAGTTGTATTGGAGTGAATGAATGCATTTAACCAGGGAACTTACTGATGCAAGGTGTCCTATCAAAAGAGGTTCAGTGTTTATTTGGATTTAAAAAAAACACACACACACAAAAAAACTCAGCTGTGTAACTTCTATTTAAATCACACATTTAGGAAATCTGCCTAGAGGCTACAGACCATCACCATTCGAAAATTGGCATCTATAGTGGGTTGAATGGTGGTCTCCAATAAGGTGTCCACATCCTCATTCCCAGACCCTGTGAATCTGACCTTATGTGGAAAAGTGGTCTTTGCAGACATAATTAACATAAGGATCATGCAAAGAGGAGATCAGCCTGGATTGTTTAGGTGGCCCTAATTCCAATAACATATATCCTTATAAGAGACACACACAGGAGAGACACACAGAAGAGGAGAAGGCAATGTGACCACAGAGACAGAGGTTGGAGTGACGTGGCCACAAGCCCAGGAAAGCAGGGGTGACCCCCAGAACCTGGAAGAGTCAAGGAATGTATTCTCTCCCAGAGCTGCCGTTAGGAGCATGGCTCTCTGGATTTGAACTTCTGGCCTCCAGAACTGTGAGAGAATAAATTTCTGTTGTTTTCAGTCACCAAGTTTGTGGTAATTGGTGACAGTAGCCTCAGGAAACTACTACAGCACCCGTAAGTAGTAAGACCCAGTAGAAAAAAAAAACCATTACGTAGCCAATGAGTTGTATATACTTGTTAATAAGGACATACATAAATTAAGACCTTATAGATGGCAAAATGGTAAACATGAACGTCAAGCATGGTAGAAGTCAGATAGTTTTCTTTTTACATACCAGGAAATGCTTTGCTCCTCACTGGGAAACATGAGGAAGTGTTTAATGCCACAATCCAGAAGAACGTCAAGGTGTAATTTTAACGACGCCTGTAATGAGGCCATGGGATATGAAAAGAACCAAAACAGCGTCAGCGTTTTGCCTTTTGACAGTCTCAGCAATTCTGTTTTTTCCTGAGATATATTGAGAACATGTATAATTGGGTCATTTGAGAAATTAAAGGAGAGCAAACAGAACACTGACAATGTAAATGCGGTTTTCATTGCCTACATCCAGACAGGATCAAAGCACAGCCCGTGCAGGCCTCCCCACTTGGACTACTCTCTCTTTTTTCTTAATAGTTAAAGTGCTGCTTTCGGTCATCAGATTACAATTTGTATTTTTGACTCACTCTAAGGTTTCAGTAGTTTACAGATAGATTGTTTTTGGATTGTAATTTTCATTTGTCTGACCCGAAGATTGCTCACATTTAAGATGATCACATTTCCTACTTCTATTTTTCACATCCAAATGACACCCTAGACAGAATGAAGGATGCTTTAAGTTATAAAATCGGTAAATATGGGTTGTTCCGGAGCACCAGTTGGCCAGAAGTAGCAATGCTCACGGAAAAATGATTCTGTTTTATGAATAACTTGTTAATCTTTTGTTTCCTTAGAATATTGATTGCATTACAGATGGAAAGGTAATTTGTTGTACATTTAGTTTTCTAGCACAAAATCATTTCAGCCAATTTGCTGGTAAACATTGCTGTGTTAAAAACTCTTTCATGAGGAGTTGCTTACAGCTGATATATGATCATCCCATGGAAATTAGTAAACTTTTTTAAAAGATTTTTCTTTTAATTGCACAAATGTTGGTGAGAATCCAGCTCTTGCAGCTTTGAAAAAGGGTGTTTTCCCATCTTCAAGATCCTGTCTTGTTTAGCTAGAGTTCTTAAATTCATGAAAAGCAGGGAAATCACCTTAATAAAAAAAAAAGGTTCTCCTCAAAGAAAATGAACCACTGGCTGGGGGTTTTCTTCTCCGTCACGGGTATCGATTGCACTCCAGTCTGAAAAGTAAATGTCAGACTAGGAAGTTGAAACTCTTCTTTCAGATCTTGTCCCCGTCTCATCTTTTATATTGTTAATTGAAAATTTTCTTTCATTTTTAAATTTCCTTGAATGGAGGAAGAAAATTGGTGGGTGGTGAATGGTTCAGCAGACCCCAAACTTCCTTAGCAGATTTAGGAAATGAATTTGTGTCTCTTTGACTTGACACCCACATATTTTTCTAGCTGGGTCCCTATGCAGTTAACTTTCCAAACTGTGGCTCCTTTAGTTACTTTCCAAGATCCACCACGGACCGACTACAGTATGTCAGTTAAATGGAATCTTTCACTGCTTAACCTGCACTTCTCTGAATTCAAATTGAGCTCCAGAGTGCCCTAAATCAGGACACTGGAGCTGAGCTGTTACTGATTTGTGCCAATATGACACATTTAGAGAAGAGGCGAGATAACCTTTTGTTTCCATCTTGCCTTTGGTTGACATTTATGCCCTAACTGCTCATTTGTGTGCAGTGCAGAATCCTCTATCCAGAACCCTCATGCTTCCTGGAGGAGGCAGCAGAGGATGGGTAGTGGGACTCATCCTTATCATCCCCTTCTTGGCAGGGGAAAAATTCGTGAATACTGGGAGGAGAAAGCTGAGGTGGAATGCTCTCCCAATTTTATGCCCGCAAGGAATCTGTAATCCCTTAATGAGATGCCATCAATAGATCTGCTCTATCCTCCATGCACACCCTTTAGTCTTTCCATCTGGCAGTTCTTTCCCACTTTTCCAATCCTGGTCTCCCTTAGAGATCATTTTCAGATGGATTTGCTTCATATAAAAATAGATGTGTGTTGGGGGATGGGGGGTGGGAATCTCGGTTTGGGGCTCTGAACAACTTGGTTTGAACTGTCCCCAGGCACCCTCTGCCCCCACCCCCCCCCCACACACACAATCTGTATGGCTAAACACTGCCCACCTCTTTCATTTCTCACACTTCAACTCTTGTCCAATTTCACTGGATCTGAGTAAAACAGATGGTTCACCTTCATGGAACCTTAAATGCAGCATGTGGACAAGCTTAAGGTTTCTGCATAGCCTTGGTTTTCCTTGAAAATGGACTCTACTTAAATAAGGACGATCATCAGTGCAGGTCTCACCGGCCAAGCTATTAATGTGTATCCCACCTTCAGCTGCGG